TTGGAAAAAAAAAAAAAAATAAACACATGAAACACTCTGCTTGTATGGAACAATTGTTATTATTTTTTTCTTTTTTAAGGAAAATATACATTTAACGCACATAATAACAAGCTCCACCACTAGGAAAATAAAGGCTTTGTCATGTGACATACTAGACTTTCCCATTTGTTATTTTGTTTATACTGCTATTTTAACTGTTTAGACCTATTCTAATTATTATTTCAACTGTTTATACCAATTTTTTAAGGATTACTTTAAAAAGATTGTGTCCCTCCACGATCTTGTAAAATCTTAAATATATCCAAATATAATGTTTTACGATTGTGTCACATGCATAGATGACATGGCTTTAATGCATGAAGTTGCACCCTCTCTCATACATCTCAAATGAACAGCGGTGAATCATTACATCTTCTGTCATTCATCTAAAATGAGCAAATGGCGAACTGTTAGATCATGTACAATTTATTTGACTATATATATTGAGCTATAGCTCTCCTTCTTAATCTATTTCAACTGACATAAATAGAACTATAGTTAGCATAATTATTCACTGAGTTATGTATTAGATATCCTGTTTTCTATGCTTGTAATGATGAGATGTTGGAGGTAATCATGTTAGACCAAAATAAGTTTGATTAGAATAACGTTAACGGGTGTGTTTGGTAACCAAAGTGTTTCTTTTTGTTGTGTTTTTTGAAAAAACACCATGCCATGGTGTTTATTTTTCAAATGTGTTTTGAAAACCAATTTAACTCACACTGAATTCAGTATCCAACATCAGAATACACTTGATTCTTTTCAATCCCAGATGACCTAATTTATGCATACTACATGAAGAAATCAAAACAATAACAAATGGGACTTACTCATCAAGAGATACGTGGATCGCAGGCTTTGCCGCTTTCTTCTTCTGACCCCTCAGCCACTCCCTTTAGCCTCGCTGCAACCAAACCAACCAAAATTTGTAAAAATCATCCAAATCCAAACTAAATTTTGGGATAATTGTGAAAATACACTTACATATTCCCAAGGAGATGGCGGTTGAAGGTGGGGGCTGGGCGATGAGAGAGGGGAGAGAGAGAGGAGTAGGAGAGCAGCTCGACGAGAAGTGAAAGAGAAACTAGGGTTAGGGTTTTGATTTGGTTTTTGGTGACGATGAGAGGGTGAGAGCCTAAATGGGAACGCGACTCGGAGGCGACAACGGCGATGAGGAGGCAGCAGTGGTGACGTGGAGGCGGCAGCGGCGACTACTCCGGAGGCGGCTGGCGACGCGGATGACCGCTGCGGTCGACGATCGGAGGCAGCGACGCGAACGGCGGAGGCGCGCGGATTCGGAGCAGCGGCGACGGCTTAGGGTTGAGGGGGGAAAGGGGATCGGGTTGGTTTTGGGGGAAAAATAAAAGCAACGGAGATATGAAAACAGAATTAATGCTTAATGTTAATTGTTACTCTAGTATTTATTGCTAATGTGTGTGTATATATATGTATAGAGTATAATTTTCGCTAATTTTACGCTGAAACTCATGTCATTTTTAATGGCTTAAATACCCATATTGGTATTTTAATTCAATCACATTTGCCAAGAAGGTATTTTAAATAAAAAAATCGGCGTTAAGGTATTTTAATTGATTAAAATTACCAATTAGGTCATTTTTCTCGTCGGCGACCACTTTTCCGGCGAGAACTCGTCACGTGCGTGACACGTGATGACTTAATCTGTGTTTTAGCTGATGATGTGACTCGGTTTGCTGATGTAGCTCGGTTTTAGGTGCTGATGTGGCTTAATCACAATTTAAGTCCAAAACGAACCAACCTGAACCCTAAAAATTTCAAAACAAAGATCAAACTTCCACGCATTCCCTCCAGATCTCAGATCCAACTCAATTATCTTACCTTTACCGCTAACAGAAGCAGCCAAAACCCCCGATTCCAGGAACTTCTAGAAGAAAACGCCATGGGAATTCGGAGAGAAGAGAGTGAGAAGACGAAGATCACTGCAGACTAGATTTCCGCCGGCGCGGCCATGGATCGATGCAAGAGAAAGATGTTCTATTTATACGGTAATTTCTCTACTAATTTTTCGCTAATTTTTTTACCAATTTTAGAAATGGGGGATTTTAAAATGCATCGACTCTTATTCTTCCTGCCACTGCCACGTCAGAAAACCGGTTGAATTAAAATGCACGTGACGAGTTCTCGTCGGAAAAGTGGTCGCCGACGAGAAAAAAGACCTAATTGGTAATTTTAATCAATTAAAATTCCTTAACGCCGATTTTTTTATTTAAAATACCTTCTTGACAAATGGGGTTGAATTAAAATACCAATTTGGGTATTTAGCCCATTTTTAATTGCACATGTTATCTCCATCATTCTTGGCGGCGCCCTTTGCAAGTAAGGAACAACTTTGTATTTAATATTATTTTATATTTAATACAACTAGGGGTGACCACTATTTAATATTATTCTAAATATTATATTTTAATAAAAAGTCATGTTATTAATTATTCTATTTAAATTATAGTAATTATCATAAAAAAGTAAAATATTAAAATTTTATTAATAATATAATATTTTAACTAATATTATATTAAATTAAAAAATTATAATATTTGATTAAATATTATATTATTGAAATATTATATTAAATATATTGTTTGTATATTATATCAATTATTATATAATATATCATATTATTATAATATAATATATTATATTAATTAAGTCTAAAATATCAAATTGATATATTTATACGAACATGTTTGTCAGTTTGGTATATTAATAGGCTAAAATATCAATTATTATATAATATATCATAACTATATTTAATGTTATTAATAGGCTAAAATATCAAATTGGTATTTTTATACGAACCTGTTTGCCAGTTTGGTATATTTAAAAACTCCAGCGACGACAAGACATTTTTTTCGGCCTTTTAGTCAATAAGACACTTTTCTCAAAATTTCGGCAAGAAAGATTGTTTTAACCCCCTTACCTCCCGAAATTATTAAATCTGTGTCCAAAACTATCAAAAAAATTTCATCCTCTCCTTCTCCCCCCCCCCCCCCCCCNNCCGTCGTCGACATCCTCCTCCTCCTCCTCCTCTCCAATTCCTCTCTCCTCCCCTCTTAAAACTGAGTATGTCCTAAAACTGAAGTTCTCATTTCTGATTTATTTTATTACTTATTTTCACGAGTATACAGGGATATGACGTCTTCATAATGAGCCGAATGTTATAATTCATCGTGATTTAAAGCCAAGGTAACTTGAACTGATAATTTTCATTTCATTTTGATATGAATAAACTTCAATTGCTAGTTCTTATTTGATGTTGATGTGAAAAGTTCATTTGGTAAAAGTTTCTTTCAGGAACGTCCTTTAGGTGAACTCCAATGCTGATCATTTGAAGGTTGGAGATTTTGGGTTACGCAAGCTTATTAAAGTCCAAAACTCCCATGATGTATATAAAATGACTAGAGAGACTGGAAATTGTGAGTATAAAATATATTTCCTTCAAAAAAAGAATGAGTGTTATACTTTAAACTAATTGTTATTTCTTTCTGAGAACGAACGACCGATACATGGCACCAGAAGTATTCAGACACAGGAAATATGACAAGAAAGTTGATGTCTTCTCATTTGCCATGATATTATACGAGGTAGTTTGATTTTTCTAATAGCATTCCAGTTTATCAGCATGTAGGTTACCATGCTTGTTGACTCATTCGTTATATTTAATTTTAGATGCTTGAAGGAGACCCTCCATTAGCAAACTATAAACCTTATGAAGCTGCTAAATATGTTTCAGAGGGCATCAACCAACATTTCGTGCAAAAGGATTTATTATTGAATTGAGGGAGTGAGTAGAAGTTAGCTAATGGAGGAGGAGGGGACGGTGAGGAGAGGGATGGAGTTGGTGGGGGAAGGGGAGGCGGAGGAGGGGAGGAGAGGGGAATGGGAGAGGAGGAGGAGGACGTCGACGACGACGACGATGAGGAGGAGGGGGGGAGGGAGGGGATGGACTTTTTTTTGATAGTTTTGGACACAAATTTAATAATTTTGTGGGGTAAGGGGGTTAAAATAAATTTTATTGCCGGAATTTTGAGAAAAAATATCTTATTGACTAAAAGGCCGGGAATAAATGACTTGTTGTCGCCGGAGTTTTTAAATATGCCAAACTGGCAAACATGTTTGTATAAAAATACCAATTTGATATTTTAGCCTATTAATTAATAACATTAAATATAGTTATAATTAATTAGTAATTATAATATAATATATTATAGTTTAGTATAAAGTAAAATAATGTATTATATTATAATAACATACCAAATAATATGTTAAAACCAATTGGGTAAATTAATTTAGACTTAATTGATAGATAAATATTGTACTTTAATAAGGTGCCACATCATCAATTATCGCATATGAATAGTCAAATCAAAACTTCAAATTGTCTCGTTATGAAATTTGATTGCAAAAATTTGATCGCAAGGTCCGAGAGATGTGAACTGTTTATGAAATTTGATCGTTAAATATGAATCTACCCCGTCTAAACCTGCTTCATGCATAACTTCTCCATTGTTCGTTATCCCAAAACAAATATGAGTACCCAGAGCTCTTATGTCAAAGCTGTATCATCTACTGCGCTAATAAACAAGAGTAAGAGCTTCTCCAACCGAACTTCATCCCATCAATTTGACGCAAAAAAAGTTACTATTTCTCCTCCAACCGAACTCTTATTCAACAATGGAAAAAATAGATAGTTTAATCCAAACACTTAAAATTTCATAATACTAGAACCAAATAGAACATTGAACATAAACTAGAACAACATTGGAAATTAACACTAATTGCAATACATTAAAATTAAAGGAAAATAGAACATTGAACATAAACTAAAAGATAAGAATAATTATATAATTTTTATATTTTTATTTTATTCATAAAATATATTATTATAATTAATTATATGTATTATATAATTATATAATTATATAATTTGTTAAATATTTTTAATTTCAAAAAATGTTAAAAGATAAGAATAATAAAAGGAATATTCCAATTTGGTGTAACATTTGGTGTAATGGGTTGGAGATGGAATAGTAATTTGGTGTAAAAAGTACACCAATTTGGTGTAAAAACTACACCATTTTGAGTTTTATGGTTGGAGATGCTCTAACACACAACGCATCCGTATTAAACTACAGCAATAAGACGAAAAACGCCATCATGAACCACAATGCAGTCCTTCGAGGAGAAAATTCAATGTTGCTGTTGATGTACCCTTTTGATGTTAAACTTACACTCATTAATTGTAAACAGACCTGTAGTATAACCGTTGTCAATTTACTACCCTCTAACTTAAATTTTGCAATTAGACCCTCAGTGAAATTATTTTGACCATCTCACCCAGAAAGAAAGAGAATTATTTTTTTTTTTGACAAATAGGACCCCTGAGTGTTATAATAATAATAACAATCACTCAAAGGGGTGCAAAAATAAAACTAGCGCAATAGTAAATTCAAAACAGCAGTACTACATAGCACATATCCGCAATAAACCAATGTTTAAATGTAAAACATTCAAACTTATTAACATACGTACAGCCGATGGACTACCAGAACGAGTACAACGTCCATCATGAAAAAATAATTGTTATATACTTCCGAAAAGCTTACTCATGATAATAATTGGATGTACTGTTGATAAAGGCAATCACAATGAATTAATGACAATAAAGGCCGTACCTGCTGTTTTCAGCATACCAAGTTCACAGCTCAATATAACACAGAATTAGCCATATATAAATAACACAGAATGAGGTGGAAAATAAAATAAAAGGGTGCAACACGCATTGCGCTGCTCCAGTTTCAGCACCTTTCTGTATACAACAATGAGCTGAAAGACTAATCACTTTGATACAATATCTTCTCTATACAGATTCAAATCAAAATGGCACGATAAAGAAGGAAAAGCCCAAAAAAGCATGGCCACTGGGGCTTGCATTTTATACAAGTAGATAACAATGTGGTGACGTGTCCTCGTGCCTCACAAGTAGCCCACAATCAAACATTCAGATGTAACGTCTTCTCGTTACACAAGAATTTTAACAATTCCATCGATAGGACCAACCAAGCTATCCATTAGGAAAAGGATTACCAATGAAGAGGGCAGCATCCAATACAAGGCTCTCAAAGCCAAGGAAGAGAGGTTTGCTCAAATTTTCCTTTGACGGAGGACCACGACTCTCCTTAGCTTTCCTTGTCTGAAATAAAGAAAAGTGAGCACAGGTAGAACCTGCTGAATATACAGATGAAATAAAGAAAAATGTCAAATAACTGGCAGATGTACTTCAATGTAGTACCGGTTTAACATAAGATGGGATCCCCTTTTTCACAGCTTCGATACTTCATTCCAATTCCTATATTAACTTTTCAAGTGAACGCATTGATGTATGAGATCTAAAATTTCAAATACAATGCTATGTCTGCATTGATTGGCTTTGGTACTTCGATGTTTACATGGGCATGTAGTCAGGGAACCAAGAAGCAATGGTTACGATCTTACTAGTTTTTGAAAATTAAAATCTCATAGACTTAATTAAACACCTGCAAACTACATGATAGGCTTATCCATCAGGTGATCTGACCACTCACCTTGTTTACATGTTCTAGAACAAATCTCAGCAAAACATTGTACAATAAGAAAACTTCAAAACTATATGTTGATGGTATCTGTTCTACACTAGACAGCTGCCCATCTAGCACCATTTCGAATCAGTAGTCTTCAAATCCAGTTTTCTGTACATGGACATTTCATTAAATGTAGATAGAAGTGAACAATGGATCACTAACCCAACTATCCAGTAGCACAAGCTTTCTAGTGTATGCCAAAAAAAGTGAAGACTTGTGGTGAAACCACTATGCAAGCATCATCTCCATATACATACATATACAACAAATACACATATATACATAAATTCATGTATGTATGCATAGAAAATATGGCATGAGGTGGCAGCTGATTTTGGTAAATGATCTAGCTATGACGAGGCCCGTCCTGCTAGTCATATCGTAAAATATGACCCTCACCATTTCTAACTTAGTACCTCATCTTGTTAAAATGGCAACTTATATCCAGAATTTCATGGGTGTGGGCATGTGCCTATGTGGAAAATGTGGGCATGAGGTGAACACCTCATTTTATAAATGAGCTATTGAGAGATAAACTAGTGGTGAGAGCTAACTGCTAGTCGTGTCGAAATAGGTGGACATCACTTTTTCCTCTTGATAGATTTATTTTGCTAAATGAGGTGATAGCTAGTATGCAGTCTACCCGTGTATACATGCAAGTCGTACACATACATACATACATCAATATGAATGTGTATGGGTGTGAAAAAAATAGTCCTAAGATGACTCCTTAAATAACTATCTCAGGATGACTATAATCATGTTCTTCAGCATTAGGCTCTTAGCGGATGATTCATATCGTCCATAATCTCCATGTAAAGAAATGATTGTGTAGAGAAACATGACCTACACACTTCTTCACCATAAATAGAATAATGTTCTTTCTTTCTTGAATAGCATTTCTTTTTTCTATTATAGAAAGATGCTGATCTTGTCAAAATTACCTGATATTTTACACCGAGGTATTAGAGATGTGGAGATCATGATGAACGATGTGGGCATGTTGCAAACTCACCTATAAGATTTTACAAAACAATGGTAATATTTTTACATTTTCTGTACTTCTTTTACTATTAAATGCTAATTATGTAACATGAGATTATAAAAAGTACAAGATGACTAACTAGCTCAAAGTATTCTATTATTCTTAGATTTAATATATTACTAAACACCCTACTTTGGACAACTTATAAGAATATTCAATATAATCATCACATAAATAGTTTTATAATCTCGAATTTCATGAAAGATGCATTATACAGAATATAATAAAGTTTAGAAGAAATTAATACGTGACCATTTGGCATACTTCCATATTCGTGCGAATTCCACTTTGGACCAGTAAAACATTATGAGCGCATTTGTTCATTCTAAGCTGTGTACTTAATGTGCTTTAAAAAGTCATTTTTCAATGAATCTCGAACATCGAAGCTGCTAAAATCCATGTAAACTCTCCTTTCCTTCTGTCCTCTAAATAACTTTCAAGTTTCAGTTTTCCATTTATACCTGCTTGACGCATTGGCAAGATGCATTAAATTTAATTTTTGATTTTAGGCGCTCAAAATAGTGTAGGTCGACTTAACAAACAAAAATTTCAACTCGAACAGAAGGTTTTTCAGTTTCAGTGTCTTATGGTTGAATTTCAACTGGAAAGATTCACTCCCTACCCTAAATTATTAGTTTTGGAAGAAGAAAAAAAGTTGTTGCAAGAGCCTACCAATGTAAATTCAATGATGAGCTGTCAAAATTTGGAATTCCCCCACGGCAAATTTGGAAGCTTTACACGTGCACGCATGTGGGGTTTAGCTAGACAGCCATAAATTGTAACTATGTGCATGTGTTTGCGTGTGTTTATATATGCAAGCACCATTATTAATCCAAAAACATGACTAAATTAATTACACACCTAGTGAAGTCCATCATATGTCATAAAAGTGAATGATCTGCACTGTCATATTGATAAACATAATATTAAAGTTCTATAAACATAAAAACATGCACTTTTGCATCTTCTAGCTTGTGGATTATTAGATTCTTTTGGTGATATTGTTGACCATTCATTTTTCCATGACTTCACGTACAACTAACAAGTCAATAAATGCATGATTTTTTATAGAAAATATAAAAACAATTTTGATCAATTTGAGTTGAGCGGATTGTCCATTTTGAATAGTATTATGTACTTTGATTGGTGGGCATAACTAGCTTAATTGTGCCAAGGAGTATGAAACTCTCTTCCCATGATAAATGCACACATGCGCAAACGTGCACAGTTTTCTAGATTCCCCCCCCTCTGAAAGCAAAATATCTTCAAAACATCTTGTATACAGACATAACTAAATATATGTATTCTTTTTTGAATTTGTCTTCTTAAACATAAACTACGAACATGAGGTAATCAAATGACTAGTTAGTTTCCATTGTCCCTTTTGTGCCAATTTTGATGGATGAAATATCATTTTGGTTTTTAGGAACTCTAGATGGTACACAGATCAGTACAGTACCAAGTTGGGTAGATTATATTCACCTCTACAGATTATGGTTTTAATGCCTAAGATAGTATAGATTAAGACGAATGAAGTGTACATACAATCTGGATAGCATACCGCTGACTTTTAATTGTAAGCATTTGTTTCCAAGTCCTTCCAAAAGGAGCATAAGCTGTATGTGCATCACATTTTTAATGCACTCGTGTATGGCTCGATAATTACATATTAATCCAATTTAGTATTTATTTATCTGTCAACACACGTGCTTAACCATATGTGTATGAATACACGTGAGTATATAGGGATAGTGGATATGGGTTGTCGTATGGTTACCAAGAGGTAGGAGTGTTTTTTTTTTGGGGGTGCGGGGTGCGTGTGTGTTGTCATATCGCTACCAAGAAGTAGTAGTGGCATGTGCGCACGCTCTCATGTTGTGTATTATCTCAGGATCTGGCTTCTTAAATGAAGACCATATTTAACAAAATTTGTCCAGTATCAATTTCTCTATTCTCCTTTTTCAAGCTAATGTCAAAAAACAACTTCTTTATTTCACAATATAAACACAAACTTCTCCATTCCTCTTTCTTATTGATGTACCATGTTTTCCTAACATCAGGGCCGGCTATTCCTTCTGGACAAAAACAGGAAGGTGGTCTGTAAGAACGGAAACATGGCATTACGATGATTGTGGAATTAGAGTGATTTCGGTGCACAAGAGGCAGAAGAAAAGCTGAAGATTTGCTAGTTTTAGATATTTCTCTGGTCCAATAGATAAGCATCGTCTTGGTGGTACTACCAACAGATCTGTTTCTCCAATATAGTATATGCATCAACTTCAGACATTCAATATCATTTATTCAGTATATAGTGATTTAAGCACAGTAACTTCGTCCATGACATGGCAAGTTATTTCGTTGGTATGTTTCATGTGGTGCGAGATATGCGAGAAATTGATGAAGGAACATATGTTTTTTTTACGTTTAATGAACTCTAGGTTCGTATAGATTATATGCTGGAATTTCCATCTAGGATTTACTGAAAGAGAAGAAGAAAAAGGGAAGAAAAAGAGAAAAGAAACAGAGAGAAGGCAGTTAGAAAAGTGAAAGAAAAGAGAGAAAAACAGAGAGAAGGCAGTTGGATAAGGAAACAAGCATAGGAGCTTATAGCAGTAATCCTCAAAGTCTTATCAACAACCACGCCACCCCACATCATCCCGAATACAACCAAAAAGAAAGAAGGAGAACCAAACTCCAATATAAGAAAGACAATAAGAACTTCACTATTTGGGAGTAGTAATGCCCCCATTGAAATAAAAAACAACGGTCTAAACATGTAAAATGAACGAAGATTGCTAAGACAAGACAAGTGAAGTAACACTGTTCAACATGCTAGTCTAGCAACATTAGCAAGTATATTATAGTATAATATCAGTATTTAGGCTTACCTGTACATAAATTTTACAAGTGAAAAAGGCCACTCTTCAAGAAAAAGCACAGTCCCGTAGTTACTATTATTAGCCTGGCCCTGAGTTTGAAGGTCTCGAATATAAATTACCCTGCACCCCTTGCCGGAGTGGATGCTGAGATTGCTGTTGCTGCTGCAACTGCAGCTGTGACTGAGACTCTTGTTGTAGCTTCCGCTGCCCTCCAACGCCATTACCATCCACCTTAACATTTCCAGAAAACTGTCTATGTGCTGATCCCTCGCTGGAAGATGGAAGTGACGCATCAATTCCTACTATGGGTGAACCAGCCAAGTTAGCGGTCGAATTCGGTGAGTTTGTATCATATGATGGCTCTGGATTCCACTGCACTGCAGGGGAAACCAAAGGAGCAGAACTTGTAGAATCTGACCGAGGAAGTGATGTAGCTGGAATCATATGATTGACTTGGACTTGATCACCTAAAGACTGCATTCTACCATCAGAACTTAGCTGTCGATTCTGCTGCATCATTCTTGGCATATTTTGATTCATGTGACGCTGTTGGTGTGGTGCCGATGGAGCTGCCAAAGGAATTGAAGAAGGATGTGGAGGTTGCTGGGGAGCTATTAAAGTGTGACTGCTGGGAACTGGCATTAGACTTTGGTCTGAATGAGACGGCAACGGTGGTATTTGCTTTGATGGTTGAGGAGGTGGCCGAGCATACAATTTGTGGTGGTTTGCGGATTGCGGCAAAGTTGAATTTAAAACTGAGCTTCCAGGAAAGAAGCCTGAGCCTTGTTGAATCAGATGCTTATCGGAAACTTGGTTTCTGGGACCCACAGGCATACCACTGACTTGAGAGGGATCAACACTAAGATTTTGATGTGGCTGCATTGTCCCCCCACCTAAACCTTTTGCAAGTTTAGCCTGCTGCTGCAGCAGTTGTTTTTGTTGCTGCTGATTTCTAGGTTGCTGCAGTTGAGCTTGCTGCCTCTGTCTTTGCTTCATCATCTGATTTTGCATTCCAGAGATTGGATGTGAATTACGTGGCATCTGCTGCTTGCCATGTTGGGCCTGTGAAGGGGGTGGAGTTGCAGAAGGAGATGGCTGAGATTGCTGTTGTAGCTGTGTACTTTGTACTGCTGACATGGCACTAGATGGAGAATATGGTTGCGGAGCTTGAGGCATCATTCGTTGTTGGAGTTGCCTCTCCTTGGCTAGGCGCATAGCATAGGCTTGCTGCTGGGGGCTTGAATGGTTCACACTTTGAATATGAGGATGGTGGGGGTTGCCAAGCATGTGGGGTTGCTGCGTCATATGGTGGGGCTGCTGCTGCTGCTGCTGAGCTGGGTATGACTGGACTGATGGAAGGCCAGTTGTAGTAGAAAATGGGGCACTCATAGCACTGAAAGGGGGCACAGCTTGACCATTACCTTGAGAGACTTGCATCGAAAGATCTTGCATCATCATTTGCCTATGGTCCTCTGTGTTCTGAGATGGCTACAATACCAGTAGTTTCTAAATTCAGAATTTTGATAAACAAGCATGTGATCAGCGCTTTAAAAGTTTCCCAGAGGATAAAAGCATAAGGTTTAAATGACTTAAAATTGTGGCACAAATTAGCAAAATATCAACAGGTATCCATTTCGACCAACATATAACCAACCAGCTTACACCTAATATCCAATGATCAACAAACAACTATATATTTTTCTCCATAAATGCCCATGGATTTTCCCATCCTATGCCATTGACCACGTCATTGCAGAGTTTTCTTGCGCTCCTTGATTTCTTATCCTACGTTATCAAGCTTGTCCTCATTGAGTTATCTCCATCTTCGTTAATTCTTAGTTGTCTATCTCTCCTACTCTTTTCATTAAGGCTCTGACCTTTTTCAATTTTGACACTTATTTTCAAAACTCCCGGATGTTAATCCACCTTAATTTTGGAGAAAGAAGAAGGTAAAAAATAACTTAGCTCATATAATTAAAAATTCTAATGCATGTTACTGTTGACATTAACAAAATTTTATGGTTACTAAAATCTATACTTGCTGAGGGACTTTCCTTTATTACAGTTTCCCTTTCTTATAGAGTTTTTCTTCCGCATGACTTCCTATAGAAAAGTCATACAATATTTTATTACCCCCTTCAGTGATCATCGAATAAAAAAAAGGTTTTCTCTTAACAAGGGAAAGAAGCGCGAGCATAAGCATGAGCAATTCTTGAATATAGATTTCTACATGGAGGGCTAAAGGTCATCTTAATTATCCTTGTATTTCCATTAAAATAATAATATGGACATCAAGGCCACGGAAATGAAGTGACAATAGTTTTACAACTCACAAACCCTTGTTATCAAATCCTTGACCAAGAGAGCTATGGGAAAGAGATTGCCTAACCATAACTCCAGCTACTACAGATAGGGAGACTGCAAGTTCTAATGCATTTTAAACTTATGCAACATGCAAGAGAACAAATAACTGCACAAACACAATGAACTAAATCCAGACAAAAGGTCAAGGTATAGTCAAGAGACAAATGGAAATCTTTGTTTCCACTGAATGAGGTCAAGACCATACATTAAAATGAGAAACCTTTTATAGAGAAAGGGAAGTGAATGATACCTCGAATACCAAAATAACAACTTAAAACATGGAATTGAAGTACTAGAGTGAATTGTGATAAATTACATAAGGAATCATGAAAAATAAATGGTTACCCGTGTTCTCAACATTGAGTTTCCTGGGCCAGAAACAGCACCAGGATGGATGTTGACAGGATTTGACACTCCTGCCCCACTACCTGCAAGCACACTACCAGCAGAAACCATTGGCATGCCTGGAGAGATTATTCCCTGAAAGCCTGGCCTCGACAAGGGCATGGTTCTAGCACCCATCATCCCCATGCCATTACCCGAGGGTAACATGTTAGCACCTCGATCAACACCCATAGGCAAAGCCCCAGGTGCAGACAAGGTAGACTGCTGCATATTTCTACCAGAGAGCATTTGGGAATAATGCATTTTTTGTTGGTCATCAACGGGTAAAGAAGCTGCTCTAGGCATGCAATACCTTTGTGCATCCCTATGACAAGTTTCACTATTTATTGTAAACAAAGACTCTTCACGTAATAATATAATGGAAGATCACCAGGACCACCAGTTATTTATTACCTAGCAGGGGGATTCAATGGAGTAGAAGGTGACTGTAAGTTGCTTCCTACAACGCCACCAGAAGTTCCTGGTAACATGGCGTTCACACTTGATGTGGGAAGAACAGGTGAACCTTGATGACTTGGAATTGCCACACCACTTGTATGAGAACTCTGATATCCAAGGGAAAGTACATCTGGACTTGAAGAAATAGCATCACAGAGATCAAGCGGTCTGTATCACATAAAAAATAACCATTACAATATCAGCAAAGTGGTCAGCATCGCAAATAAAAAAAATGAATGCTACCATAATCTGGAAATTATCATGAAAGAAAATATGAGTACAATTATGCAAATTGATAGGAGTAATAACAAAATGATAAGTAACTCAAATATAAGATGTCATGCATCATTGTGACTTACGATAGGAAACCTCCACCCAGGTTGTTCGGGCATGTCTGAGAAAGAGCAACAAAATGAGAACTGTGGACTGGAGTCATTTGTTTTAGTTCTTGGGTATCCTTCTGGTGAAACCATGCACAAATGAGTTCAACAAATGGAATAAGTTAGCAAAGCAACTAAAGACTTTATGGACAGACCCCAAACATAGATACAGACATAAAATAGCTAAATTTAAATAGGCCACTAGTTTAGAAAAAAATAGATATTCCGCAGAATTTCATGCTTTTTTTAACCCATAAATGTGTTCTGAGACATATAATATTCGATAGGTAAACATCAACAGTAGTGTTGCATGCCCTAGCTTTATAGATCAGAAAACAGCTGTCTTAGTTACAAGCCATGCTAAATAAGATCCTTGAGAGCCACTGTTATTTAAAATAAGAAGACATATTCTTCAGCAACTAGCATGAACCTTTTCATGCTATAGTAACCAAGATGATACTAATAATTCACCCTGAATTTAATAGGCTATACAAAAATAGGTATTTAAGAGCTACCTATGCTATGGAGGCCTTATAGTCACCGCCACTTAGGCTATTTTTGTTTTTTTCCGTAGTCTGGGTACTATTTTGAAGTAGTCCAGGCACACCCTTTTATCTCATGTTTGTTTTCTTATGTGGCCCGGACTATTTCTAAGGAAGGGCTGGGTAATTCCCAGGAAAGGAGACTAAGCTAAACCCACCCAACCCTCACCTTTACATTTCAGGTATTAGTTATCTGGCCGGGATTAATCTTTTTGGACAAAATTGTCTCTACCCTTCATTTTTCTTCACCACATATTCTTGTTATTTCTTTGCAAATCCAATCCAAGAAGCTCACATCTTCTTCAAATCTTTGAATGCTTTTGTTGTTTACTTCACGTTTGGGAGACATCTTACGGGGCGCAGGGATTTTGTATCTAATAACATATCTGCTTAGTAATTCAAACTCAGGATGATGCCAGAATTCGTTTTGATGATTTGGAGTGCAAACTTCATCTTCATGGATTCACTCACCATGTTGCTTCTTATTGTGACTGAATATTACAATTTTCATGGAGGATGTATTCCTTTTAGCTCTCAGTTTATAAGTTAGAACATATATCACTGATGCAACATTGAAATCTATACATAGATCATCCCTATACTATGCCAAATATTTGCTCATTTATTGATTCCTAGTTAGTAGTGATACAAGAGATGCTTGCTTTTTTCATGAATGATTCTGAAACTGGAATAGTCATAATATAAATCGGAGGTGTTCCTTTCTTTGAGCCATTAATAAGATTTTGAAAGTTTGCAAACAGATACATACAATACTCCTTGACTTAAGAACAAAAAAGTCAATCTGTTTATGATATTAGTCTTCACGTTTCACAATCTCTTAAAAAAAAAGTGTTCTGGACTATTATAAGTTAGTTTGATTGGTAGTCCGTGTGAAAACAAATACAGGACAGAACTAAAATACTCCCCGCGAGGACTACAGTACCTCCAACCCCTCAAACAAAGTCAAAGGATAAGAAACAAATGTGGCCTTATATTTTCAGTACGAGTCCATTCTTCAAAATAAACAAATCTTTCCATGTCAATAATGCCAATCACAATAAAGCAACAAATACTGCAAAAGAACAAAATTATAAATTGCGATGAAAGCAGACCTGACTCCTACAGGAGTGCAGTTTCTGCCCAACCAAGATGATCTTTTCAAAATGAGCCTTCAAGGTATCCTCTTCCATGGGTCCTTGAAGGCGTTGAAATAGTTGCCTGGCACTTCCCTGATGTCAATCAAAAACATGAGATAGCATTAGTTTCATTATTGGGCCACTGTATTAAGAATAAATTATTATTCCAACTACTTTGGCCTCATGATAAAGACATCTCAAATTTCATGAACTTGGGGTCAGATGCATTTTAGGTTTGATCTCTTCCACCCTAAGTTTCCTTTATGATAGTTTCTCCAGGCCTGTCTTTGCTTTAGTTTCAATTTTTAAATTGTAAAATAATTAAGTATTCAGGAGCTATATATAAAATATTCTGTATCATTCTTGGTGTATGCTTGAGTCCACTCCATTCTGTTGATATGCATCAAATATCACTCTTGTCAAAAGCTTAAGCTCAACCATTCCGTTAGCTATGTGCAAAGGCGTAAGAAATAGACATCCATACACTTATACGGAACATTTAACTATTAATCTCACAAATGAATGAAAAGTAGCATTAGCTTCATTATCAAGTGATCCTGCAAGACAAATCAAGTGATCCAACATGGTGACCCATCTAGTTTGGTGATAAAGATGATTTTTAAGGCCCTAAGTTAACCTTATCTAAAATAGTTTAGCTCTCACAAGTTTCCACCAAACATGAATGAACCTACTTGTTTTCTAACCAAATTGATGCCATTTGTGGACGAACAAAGCAAGTGTTGTATATCAAAAACATGGAGCGTCCGTCGATAAAATAGTTATTTCAAATCCAAGGTAAGGATAGGACTACTTTTGGTGTTTTCATAGACATCAATGTATTAGCATATGCGTGTAACACTAATCAGGGGCTAGCGTGTTCCTAGACAGTGTTTGGCTAGAGTGTTGCTAACTTTGCACACATCTAGACCACTACAGACCAGATCATAATTAATGGTTTGGATGTGCGCTGCGTCAGCAAAACACCAGCCAGCACCATGGAGGACACACTGGCCATGGTTTACCATATATAATATGTAGATGTTAATGGCTATGAGTTGCAGGAGATCACTTTGTTAAAGGAGATGTGAAGAGATAAAGGATGATGAGACGCACTCGTTCAATTAACTAGCTAGATAAATGAAACAACTAATCCATCTCTTGGTTGTAAATTGTCATCTTATACCCATTTTTTTGATATATATATATATATATATATATATATATATATATATATATATTATATTAATATTAATACTGAAAAATGGAAAATCAACTAATCCATCTCCTTGGTTGTAAAATTGGTCCCCATCTTATACATTTTTTTTTTTTTTCGGAGATTAAATATATATTATGGTAGACACATACTAATGCATATAGGAAACATGGGAATGAGGAGACTGTTCATTGTGTTCAATGAGGTACCAAGAGGAGTTGTGACCCTCATCTTGTAAATCACATCGAAGCCTGTGGATCTCACCAATCCTACTCTTTAGTAGCTCATTTCGCTAAATGAGGTGGTAGCGCTTATCCATTATCGCAGATGTATGTAACATACATATATACATATAATCATATATATACACACATATAAACATGCATATACATACACAAATAAATATTCATGCACATATATACAAGTATATGTACACACACATACATAAATACATTGATTGGTGGTTGTGAGCCAACAGCTCATTTTGTCAGATTTGCTGCCAAGAGACGAAGATGGTGAGGCCCACACATCTGATGCGACTAGTAGGATGGGCCTCACAAGTTGTCCATCACTTGATAGCTCATTGAGCTAAATGAGCCATGACAACACCCGCACGCTCCCACCCTCTGTGTCCCCATGCATGCATGTGCATCTCAAGTCTCTTGTGAACACTTAATTTCCTTGGAATTAGCATAATGAATGTAACACAGCAATTAAATAAATCCTTTTAAAAAGAGAAGGTGCCAATATATTTCATCTTGTGCAATTGTCAAGAAAAAACAAAATACAATTCTAATGCCAGAAAAAGGGTCTAGAAGATGTCATGTAGAACATGCAAGGATGCACGGATTTTAATCGAAGACAGGTCCCATGTATTAACTTGACTGATCCTACATATCACAGTGTTATGCCCACTCTAATAGACTAACTGTGGATATGTCACTACATGCATGGGAAAGAGCATAAGCAACAGTTTTTATGATTCAATCGACATAGAAATAACAGTATGAGGGATACAGGAGAGACATGTCAGTTTGCTAACTAACTTATGCTCTTTACTCTTGCGTCCTTCCCCCTTGTCATCTCTCCCCAATTTTCAGTCTTTTAGGAGCCCTAGGATAACAATTAATGAAAATATATTCTTCTTGTTTAAAGATTACTAAATCAGGGATTCCCTTGAGAAAACAAATTTATTGGTCAAAATCAGGCCTTTAAGATTCTCAAGAGTAATCTTGTGAACAGTCATGTAAACATGACAGTTCTCGGCAGTTATGGAGATAAGATCATTATTGAAAGAAGAGCAGGAAAGAGGGAGGGAAACAGAAAAAAAGATGGATTAATCCAGAAAGAAATTATACTTACTATTAAAGGGGAATTATACTTATTGTTAAAGGGGAGTGAGAACTGTTACAAATACCAAGTGAGATAAAAGATTTATGAATTACTAAAAAATCTTTTAAAGGCTTAAATTTCAGGGAAAAAGGACGGAATATGGTCGGACTTCAGGTCCAAAATAATATATCCTGACTGAAAAATTCAAACACTCCTGTGTTAACAGTGACTGATATACTGTAAGGACCCAAGTTTAAGTCTCAACATAGTTCTGATGCCTTGCCTTTGGGATCCCAGGTATAGTCAATGGATAAGGTTGAGATGAGCCTGAATCCTCTGCACTATCAGCCCCATCGCCAGCACTCTTGTCCATTAGACACTTATGGCGCTCCTTGCATTCTTTAGGTTTCCGGAAGATACACTGCAAAATTTATGTAGAATCAACATCTCGGAATCACCTTTGAACTAGAGTATTATTTTGATGATAATAAAACAGTCATATGCTTGCTAAAAGCTACCACCTAAGTAACCAATCAGTGAAAACATCTTAAATAAGAGCGATACAAGAACTTACGCAAAGGTGGTGGCTAACCATTGTCTACAAATATGTATGGATGCATACCAAAACAGATAAGGAGAGAAAAAAGTAGAGTCGCAGAATTTTAAACATGGGTGATCCTAAAGTTTGTATGCATTTAAATACATTAAACTATGATATGTACCTACTGTCAGAGCGCAAGCTACACATTTGTGTTAGGAAAAAAAGACAAGTATGCAAGAATTAAGAGTAGTTCACCTTGAACTGCAGTGTGCTGTTGATAGCATCACTTACTAGCTCCCAATTTGGACCCATATCATGAACAAAGACAACAAGTGCCTGATAAAACATAAACTATATTACAAAACCTTTGATAGTAATGCATGGAATGATTCAAATATTACATATCAGAAGTCAAAGTAACCTGGTCTTCAAAGGTTGTCCATGCAATTCCAGAACCTGACTGTGCAGCAGCTATCTGGACAAAGGAACAAACTTTGGTAAAACAGAGCATCTTCGTAGGTGGCAATAATCTTAAACATGACTGAATATTCAAAGAAAAACTTTCCCAGTACATTATATTCACTAGTTAATTGAATTCACGCCCTTACGATAAATTTGAAAATTGGCTTTAATGACACCATATACAAATTACTGATTGACTGATTGACTGATTGATCAGTTCGTAATAATCTTTTCAATTAGACGTTTTGGAAGACAGCTTAACAGTAATGGCCAAGTGATAAACAGATGGTATCAAATGAGAAAAAATAAATACGTTACATGGGTAATCATATACTAGCAATAACACTGATAACCGAACACCATGTATTAGGACCAAAACATTAAAATACAGCTAGAACAAACAAATATTCAGAACAGAACATTCAGCATAAGAAACAAAGCATAAATGACATTATGACAGTGTACCTTCATAGTTTTACTCTTTTTTCCCCGATCGCGGTTAGATATTATCTTTATAAACTTATTTTGATTCGTCATGTTACTCATTTGAGAAGTCACAGGAGAAGGCAGGGACCCAGAGGCTGGCATGACAGGCTCTTGTGCGGGCTCTGTCAGTTGTTTTACGACCTTAGGCTTTTTGGAGACATGTTGTCCATATATACCTGTTGCCATTCAAGTGAAATGACACGTGTAAATTAATATACATGATTTTAGAGGGAAAAAGAAAGAAACTATGTTGAGAGAAAATTACCAATATTTCCATTGGCTTCATGGTGCTGATTCTCCAATCTCCTTTTCACCTGATCTCTCTGCATACAACAATTAATAAGTAATTAGAATTAAAAGCATAATGTGACAACAAATAATAAATCATTAGTTGGTCTTTCTAGAGTCTGTCATTGCCTATGAAAATAAACAGAGATAAGTACTTCAAACCATTTTCCTTTCGTTGGGCATATATTATGCAACCTTATGCAATTTCCATTAAGTTCAGTAACTGGCTTGCAAACACCCCAGCAAAAGGTTGAGAGAAGATACATTCAGCACAATAAATATTTATGAATCCGAATGTTTAAGTCAATCAAGATGAAAACAATGAATAAAACAATTCATCCATAAGGTATAGAGTAATAATAAAGCATTCACAAGGCAATTAGAACAACCATGCGCTTACATTTTTACTTGTTAAGAGATTATTTTCCTTAGGACTGTACCCTTAGACTGAAAAGACAGATAATGAGTTAGTTCTTGGACAAATTAGTGCTCCCATATCTATCAGGTGGATGTCAAGAACAAAGACAACAATGGTAGTAGATCAAGAATATACATGTTAAAAGAAGACCTAAGTAACAGTACAAAAGAGATTCAACCTGATTCCTAACAGAAAATGTAAGCATCCAAAAACATACTCAGCCAACCAAGAAAGCTCAAGCAACCCTGCCAATAATTGATTCCATTCTTTTCTGAAAAGAGGTTGTCACCTTAACTCTCCAAAACTCAGACCAACAGAAGCATATCAAATTAAAAGAGTGTAATACTTTGACCTACCAATCTACTATCAAATTGTAACGGATATAATCTCCAGAAACCAGTATTGTTTCCTATGACTATGAGATTGTAACCTGCCTTAGCAAATTTGTATCATCCATCCAAATGGATTAAGCGCTTATACTGAAAATTATAGAAGCATATCTTTTGTGGCCATACTTCCCCCCTTCGCTGGCATCAATATTTTGGAAAATATTCATTGCTATCGTGGCAACTTTCCTTCCATTAAGAGGCTGGCTGGTTGTTTATGGGTAAATTGCTTGGAAAGTTACTGTATCTGGAAAAGGTACATGTGACTAAGACTGACAACTATAGTACTTTCAATCAAAATCAGCTCAAAATAGAGCAAAATGGTCAGGGAGCGACAGAAGCTTTTGGGGGTGCTACCTCACCCATAATGTTCATCAACCAAATGGTGCAAAGAAAGGAAAGTCACTATACCCTGATAGCTACAGAAGAATTTTCACTGCTTTTCCTCTGCGAAGAACAATCAACCAAACAGCCCCTAAAAATTATCACAATCTATGTCATTGTCAAGGAGTGGTCTGGATTCTTTTCGAAGTATTGATGCTGCAGATACTTGTAGTCAACAATGCCTGAAAATCCATCTATGCCGATGTAAATTGAAAATAACCCCCAAATAGGCACAAATCAGCACTTCATATATTGTTTCCAGACATCCAAATTTGTCTACCCTTAATAAAATCTGTGAAATATATTGAGACCACTTAACTTTCTGTTCTATGCAGTTTACACCTTATAGATGGTCAAACATGCAGTTTGAAGTGTGAAGTGTTAACACATGATTCTGAAAGTAGCCTGCTAGAGACACAACACAGATAATAAAAACAGCATTTAACCATCAAAAGCTTAAGGCAGAGTGAACTTTTGAAATCTTTATGTAAACCATCGGCAATTCACCGTCATACAAGAAAAATATAATGCTCCAGGATTAGGACATAAGATTGAGGAACACCAATTATTTTATGACAAGTTATTGTTTGCCTCCATGTATGCTTGCACCTTCTCAAGTAAATAAGGGTAGATAACAATTGTAAATGCAATTGAAGAATAATTTAACAAATAGGCTTCCATCTGTTAAAACTCATGGCCAAAGTTATAAAAAAACAGTTATTTCACCACCATACATGGATATCTAATGCTCTTATTTGAGCTATCAGCTTGAGCAGATACACCTGTTTTATCCATACCCATGTTTATCAGATCCATTTAAGGTTGAATCATCTAAAATACAAGAGGGCGTGCGCTAATTGCATAGCAGCATATGTAACAATTAAGTAGTTTAGCATCGTCAAACTCGTAAATGGGTAAAACAAGAAGTATATAGCATTTGCATATTCAGAAACTGCTCTTTTCTATCCCAGTTAGCTGTCATCCTTGGAAGATTATGATTATAAATAAATCTTTACAAATTATTAGAATAATGGTAAGATGTGTGCTATGTTACCCGGGTACTTCAATCATGAAGCCGTACGCGTACCCGACACTTATCCGTACCCAAACTTCATGGACACTCCGTGGATGTATGCATACATTTACCCAAACGTATATTCAATTATACGATATATGTTTTAATTTAAAATACTTGTTATACACTTCTTGGACCTATATATTATTTTCTAAAACTCGTTAGACATGGGTCCGGTTGTTTCGGACTATATTCAAGTTAAAAACTATGATTTAAAAGGGTGGTTTGAGTGTCTAATTTAAAAAAAAAAGCAGTTTCCAATTTATAATAATCAACATGATAAAAGATAAAAGAAACTTAAAAATATGATAGGAAATTAATTTCAAATAGCACATGAATTGAAAAATAATAATTATCTCATGTAAATTATTAATTTTGATATGTATGCGTAGCCGTGTCCCCGTATCCTACATTTCACAAATTTGTTGTGTCTCGTACCCATACCCACACCCGCATCGGTACCCGTACCAGTTTCCATACAACTTAGGATGTGTGTCTATCGAAAAGAGACAGAAGCCATGAACAGTAACTGTGAATGAAATACAATTTACAACACCAATCAAGCTAACAAGCTCATCTATAACTCAAGTAGACATTTATCAGAGTGTCCTTAAAAGATTATAGTTCAAATTCCATCATACAAAGCCCAAATATAATAAATGTCCATCTATGATACCACATTGTTACTTCAAACATTGAGGAAACAGACTCTCTTTCTAGCATGTATAATATTTCAACAAAAAAAACACAATGCAACCACCATCTAATAGGCTAATCCAGAGACACCCATCTATAAACGTGATCAACTTCTATTATTTTAGGAAAAACCTTCCATAAGGATCACTTACATAGGCATCATTCATTAGCAAAATTAACCTAGTACAAGGATAATATGGGAACATAAAATTGACAAAATAACATGAAAGAGAGGGAGAGAATATGAAGGAATGAAAGGTCTCTTAAAGCTTTGCAAAAGTGCAATAAACAAACGCAGAACCAGAAATATTTACCAAAATGAGACTAAGCCGAGAATACCATTCTGTCATTACATGGTAATATGAATTTTACGCAAGGCATGAGAGGATATAAATTGCAGCAAGTGTGAAAAACATTCCAAAATGGAACAGGAGAAGGAAAAGAGAGGTCTGTGTAGACATATAGCAAGAAGAGGCCAACAAAGGTGAGCAGACAACCTATATTAAAGAATCTAGAAAGGCGGGAGGGAGATTTGGGATAATGTAGGAAGTGAAAATAAAATGAAGGACCGAAACCCAGCGATAATACTAAGATCTGCAACAGTCAGAAATCCACAAGGCTAACCAAAAACATTCACGTTGAGAAATTATCAGTGCATCCAATAGCATCAACATTAACATCAGACAACATAGTTGAAATGCGGGGGAAACCAGAGTTGAATAGCACACAAAAAAAAGCAAAAAAAAGACAAACATAAAATAGCCATCACCTGCTCTTGCTGGACCGTTGACTCAGCTTGTAACCTCTGATCAAACATGGAATCCTGTAATCTCACATGAATAAGCTGACATACACAAATTAGGTACAAGAACTAAGAGCAATTACTTACCTTTCCAGATACAACTAGAACACCAGGATCTGAGAGGTTCATTGAGTATCCGAAATGCTTAGACTTCTTTTTTTTATATTTTGTAGATGCCTCACTGCCGTCATATGGAAATTGCCTCTCAAAGTCTGCAGTAGACTCAACTTCCATAGTTTTCCTTGACTGAGACCCACCATGCATTGAACTTTGATCATCTTGGAGAGAATTATTGTCTCCACTTGAAACATCCATCTTATTAGTTATTTGTAGGCTTCCAGTAGTTCCAGCGCCAAAAGGACTTACCAACCTTTGCCTAGTAGCTGTCCGGACACGCTTTGTTGGAATTGGACCAGCATTTGGTACACTTGAAGGCCTTTTTCCAGTAATCATCAAAGGTCGATTTGCAAGTTTGCCTTCCAGACATGAATCATAAGAAAAATCATTTCCAACATTGTATGCTCGTGGACCATACTTCTGCTGGAGGATTTTCTTTTTCTGGAGAGTGAACTTGGATGACACGTTGCCTTCAAATGCTCTCGGCAGAAAGTATGATCCTGTTTCACCTTCTTCCTCTTCATATTCATTTTTCCGAGATCCATCTATATTTGTATATAGCATAAGAAAATTTACAGAATTAGATAATAAAAGAGAGAACAGCATAAGGTTATACCCGGCAGAGAATCGCTAGGAGAAGCCTCATAATCTTCTTGATTCATTGGACTAACCATTTTCTGAAAAAGTAGTTTAGATAAGTATCATGTATGTGCAGGTAGCATTGCACTGCTAATGAACATATACTGATTCTCAAGCACTTTACTAAAGTATGAAGTTATAAATGGCTGCTTTCCATTGGGATGAAACACTATAACCTATGTTACCTGAGTACTTCTAAATTGAAGCTGTACACGTACCCGACGCGTACTCATACCCATACCCAAACTCCTTGACACTTATTGCATAAATGCATTCATTTACTCGGGCATGTACTCTATTATACAATACAGGTTACGATTTATAACATATGTCATACATTTTCTGGACATATATCCTACACTTCACACCCACTTCTTGAAACTCGTTGGACATAAGTCAGGTTCCGAATTATAACTTTGAAGGGTCAATTGAATGTCTACTTCAAAAAAAAACTAGTGATTTTCCCATTTACAATCCACAAAATAAAAGAAACATAAAACTGTTGTAGAACTTTTAATTCTCATCCATGTTCTCATATAAATTATTAATTCCAATATATAATATATGTATAAAGAAATATTAATATAGCCATGTCCCTGCACCCTACCTTTTACTAATTTGCAATGTCCCGTACCCATACCCACATTAACACCCATACCCATACCCATGCAACATAGGCTGTAACCTAGCATCGATACACTATTCATTTGGAAATAGCAAGACTATAAGCATTGATCATACAATGTGACTGATGTCTACTGCAAATAAATGACCAGCGATAAAGGTTTTTTTCATTTCGCCTCATTACAAAGAGCATACTCCAGTGAATTAATACTTGACCATTGCATAATGAATGTATAAAAAAGTTCAGGAAAGATTACTAACATATTAGAAACCAAATATTTGGAGCTTTAATATGTCGCATACATGAAAAATCCCCTAGAGATTAGGGCACTAAAGGAAAATGCTTTTTGCACATCCAAGAGCATGTTTTCAAAAATCAGAAATCGTTCTCATAAGTCATGAACAAGACCATGATATAATGTTAGAGAAGCATGGAATTTAATACTTTACCACATTCAGAATTGGAGAAATCTGTTTGTTTTATTTTCTCCAAGGAGTAACAAAAGTTTTGCATACTACTTCCAAAGAACAGCCTATTACAAACATTAATGGGATCCATGAACCACCTTCGCATAAAGGCAAACATATATAGTGCTTGGATCTATAAGAATGTGCTTGCACGTGTTTGGAAGAATCATGCAAATGTTGTGTGTGTGTGTGCGACATGTATGTATATTTTATAGCTAGTATTTCTGTATGTACTTCTCAACATGTCTTGTAGAAATAATAAGTCGGTATATATTTACAAAAACATAGATAAATGCATGCACGCACCCAAGCTAAGTGTTTGCATGTACATATTTGACAGGGATTTGTATCCATATATGTACTATATGCATGTATTTGTATGTACATAAATCACATGGCTACGCATGTATGTGTACTATATGTTTTCAACATGTGCCTTGTAGAAACAATATATTTCGATAGACATAGATAAATGCACACACAGGTATTCATGCTAAGGGTGTGTATGCACATATAGCACATGGATATGTACGTGTTACAATATAAATAATGTGAATGATGTTCTACCACACAAGTGTGCGTAATAAAAACATTTGTGCATGAGAGAGAAAGGGGAAAGAGGATGCAGATCTCTCCACACGTCCTGAGACACAATCACCCACAAGAATCTGAGGGAGAGCTATGCATATTTGCACATATAACATCACCGCTACCATGGAGCATGAGAGAGAGTGCAAGGTGCGAGCATGAGAGATAGTGCAAGGTGCAAGCATGAGGGGGAGAGAGGGCACAGATACTCTCTCTCTAATCCCCCCAACCCCCCATGTGTACTATTTGTTTTCCTATACGTGTCTTGTAGACAGTAAGTCCATATATTTCCCTAGATACAGATAAATGCACACACCTGTGCTCAAGCTAAGTGTGTGTATGTACATGTCACATGGATATATATGTGTTATAATATTAATAATGTGTGAGTAATGTTCTACCACACACAAGTGTGTGCTCAAAACATTTGTGCATGAGAGAGAAAGAGGGGGAAGAGAAGGCGAATCTCTCCATTCGTCCTTAAAAACACAATCACCCACAAGCCTCTGAGAGAGAGGTATGCATATTAGCGCACATAACATCATGGCTACAATGGAGCAAGCATGATAGACAGTGCAAGGTGCGAACATAAGAGACAGTGCAAGGTGCGAACATAAGAGACAATGCAAGGCACAAGTATGAGGGAGAGAGCAGCCACATGACAAGGGACAAACATGAGAGAAACCACATGTGGATATAAACTTGTCTATCAACTTTGTTAGGACCATGCTCGTACGTGTCCGTACAATTGACTTAATTTGATGAATAAAAAATCTTCCTGTTTGTCTAATATGTGTTTCAGATGTTGCATACAAGTTATAGGAAGTTAGAATCAAATTTGGATGAGAAAAAAGCAAGAAACAAGTCAAAATCAGAAAAACAGGACATCACCCAGCGGTCGAACTCATCGATGAGAATGACGCCGACAGAAAGCAAAAATCGAATATAGGGTCCACTCAACGATGAGGACTTGGCTCATTAATGAATCTAGAGCTGAGCTCATCGATGAGTGGCAGGTTGATTTCAAAATCTTGATCTAATTTGATTTGGACTTGGACTCAACCTGAATCATTGTTGCTGACGCGATTTAAGGGCTCTTTTCTCGTGATTTTATGAGATTCCCGACCTAATTCATAAAGAAAAAGAGAGAGGAAGGTAGAGAGAGCTAGTGTTTTATCTTTGGTAAAAATTTCTTGATTAGGCTTCTCAATTTGCATCTTTGACGTTGTTCTTCATCACCTCATCATCAACCTTCGTTGTTCCAAAGCTTTATATTATCCAAGAGAACAGTTTGCAAAATTGAAAAGGCTGTAAGATTGTTTTTATTGGGACTCACGATATTTGTTTTTGTTCTAAACTCTTTTGTTACAATCTTGTCACTGGTTTGTGATGGCGTACTCAAACCGGGGCTAATTGAGGTTTTGGTTACTAGCTAGGGCTAGGGTTGCTCACTTTTGAGAGTTGGGTTAGACGACTAGTCTTGGGTAAACTAGGATTTTGATCTTGTAAGCCTACTGAATCGGGTTTGTGAATCAGGAGAACTTTCATCATAGTGAGAAAGCCCTCTACAATAAGGAAGAGTGGATGTATGATTGTTTTATTCGAACCACTGTAAAGTTATTGCTTGTTCTAATTGGTTGTTATTTGCTTACTTTTAAATATATTTCTTTTATTTCCACTGCATATTCTATGTTTATCAAAAATTAATAGGCAATCCTATTCACCCCCTCTAGGCTTGCATCTTAGATCTGAGCAAACTTATCTACCTAGCTAGGTAGTTAGAACTAGTCTATAATTTATCAATGCCTGAGTGGCAACAATCACTCCCTAGTTCAAATGCAGTGAAACACACTAGCAAGTATAAAATCAATAAGATTAGCCTGATTAATATGGAAGAAATTGTGGAAATACTTGAAGAGCCTGATTAATATGGAAGAAGTTGTGGAAATACTTGAAGAGTCTGATATTCGTTCAAATATGGATGTCCTAAATTGAGGATTCTCCGGAATATTTTATATTGCACTAAAATAGATCCATGGGTAGCAAAGAAAAAATATATTAAAAAGAACCTTATAATTCAGCCATTGGGACTCCACAGCTTCTCTGTAGGCCTGCATTGCACCAGGCCTTACTGTATAAAAGAGACTTCCCTGAAGAAAATGGAAAACACTGTTAGAGTTGGCAAACTCAAGCGATGGATCTCTCCCCCACAAGAAAGAAACATGAACACGGAAAAAAAACTGTCATGACAACTAAAAATGTTTTCAAATTTATGCATACAGAAGAATTGTGCCAAATAGTAGTATAAAGTCCAGCAAAAAAACATGACGAACAATGGTCTTTTTCAGGAAAGGATATAGCCCATACTTCTGAAACTTCACTGTCCCAGGTTTTTTCTAGTATGCCTGCATCATTCACTCTGTCAGGAGTTGGTGGTGCTTCAGCCAAGACGGAAGTGGATGTGCTACGATCATATTTCAAGAACCTAACTGCATAACTTTGAATAGAAGGATGAAGACTAATGTTCCCTGCTTCCATTTTTTTGTTGTCCTGAAAAAGGCCCAAATCAGTAAGGATATTTGTGTCATTTCTGTTCATGTTAAGAAAATAAGTCAGGAAGCAATTGCATTCAAAATAGGACAATATAAACACATATATATAACTAATAAAAACTTGATTCCCAGTTCCACTTTCAGCACTGAACTATAGTTTAGAAGGAACACATTGGGAGATAAAAATGGATCAGAACTTGTGGTAAAAAATACAACCAAGGGAATAGCTCTTTTCCTTTTACTCTAACAGTTTCTGCTAAATATCCTCAACAAACAGAGTAAACAATATTGGGAACAATCAATATTCATATCCACATCATTCAATGAACAAAAAAGGAGAAAGATCAAAGATGAGTATATACTTCAACATGCAGTTAAAATGTAGCATTCCCACAATAAGTTCCATTATCATGTCAAGGACCAGATGTCAACTAGGCTATACAAGTGAATGTTCTCAAAATATACATAACCACCAGGGATTGCTGAGAAGACAACGAAAATTTTACGCTGGTGGCTCACTGTGTAAATAAATTTCCAGGCTAGTGGCTCACTGAGAAGCCAGAAAAAATTTTAAATTCTTTAATTGTTTGGAAAAAATTAAAATTTTTAAATCTTTACTTTCCAATATAAAAGGAAAATTTAAGTATTGGTTGGTAAAGTTAAGATCATAGTATAATATATTTAATAATCTTCTATGTCAAGAACAAATTTGCTTCTAGTCTTACACTTTTGCTCAATGTGTGTAATAGTTTTTATTAAGTTCAAGTAGTTTACAATTTTGTTTCCTTTAGATAATATCAAAATGCCATGTGGACTTATAGGCTAAAAGGAAGCACCCAAAGGTTTTAAAAACTTCAAGGCACATGTGTCCGCACGCCAAACATGAAATGCCCCTGGCTCTGCCATTATAGCAACAATATGTTAGACAAAAATAGTACATAATTCTTCAGTTTAGATTAGCATTTTACTTACGCACAAATGAATTAAGTCAGGCAGATTGAATATTTTCTCCATTCTCTTTGATCTGGAGTTCAACCAGCTCATTCAAGAGGCTTTTTTCGCCAAATTGACTATAACTGAAGTTTTAGCAGATCTAAAATTTCCTTGATCAAAGTTTCTTGTCTTTTTGAACTTTACATATCATGTGATGACAGATTCTGAAATCTTGTCTTTGTGGGAAAATCATTGTCATCATCTAAGTAGGATATATCTATAATAAGATTATAAGAATATTAAAAACGACAAGAAGAACAATATATAGATAGACTTTGATTAAGAGCCAAAACCTTTCTGCTGAAAATCAATGATAGAGCATCAAATTAAAGACCGAACATGGTGAAACCTACATTATTAGCGTGGCTAAAAACCTAAAACCAAACTTTTGAAATTTTAAGCTTTCTTTCTCATGGATCAAGTGGCCACAAAAATGAAGGGCTTAAATAACGAGTTGCGTAGTTTAAGATCGAAAATGTTTCAACCCCATCAATATTGCATACAAAGATTTTGATCTATTACATCATGGGCCAATGTCTGGACTCTAAATTTGTATACTCCAAGCTCGAAATCTAAACAATTGTCTACTTCTTATCATTCATTTTGAACATAGTTTATGATTCGACAAAAAACTTGAACATGGCAATTTTTCTTTTCTAAATACTTTATACAGAGCAGATCAGCTTTAACAAATAGAGATACAGGGAAGCTCCATCATCAAAGATCTCAAAGAGAAGGGTTCGCACTGAATCCTTCTGAAATGGTCAACTCTATCTCAAATACACACATGCATGCATGCATTCATATCCATGTATGTCTACATAATGTGTGTTTATGGGTAACCATTAGCTTCTTGAGGACAACTAGAAGTTTGTTTTATCTACCAAACAATATAGTGGGCCACCATTAGAATAATGAAAAACTGCATCTGTACGTTTCTAACCAATGTAACCCGACCATTAAGTCAGGTTTGTTTTAAGAAAAGTTTTAGAGAATTTAAAACTGGACTGAGTTCTAACTAAGCAAATGAACTATTTCAGTTCTACTTTTTTCTGCTCTAAGTTCCTACTTATTATTATATATAAGTGTTTTCGCTTCTGGGGGAAAAAAATCCATGGTAGTTTGGAATCAAACTTCTGCTGACCACTCTGTATACAAAAGGAAACAAACTTAAAGTCGCCAGCTATGTTACACACACTATTCGAACAATATATGAACATAACAGTCGGGTCATTTCAGGTCGCAGATGGGTAGAGGGTCATGTCCATAACTGGCCTGTCTAAAACGAATTACACAGACCATTATGCTCATACCCATTTAGCCTTGACTCTACCCCAACTAACTTTGGGTCAGATTTTAATATGTTCAGTATTACCACCATCAAAACTACACATATTATTGATCATACATTTCAAGAACTGCACTGCTATATAAATGTGAAAAGGAATTGCACAGTATATCTCACGATCTCATTAAAACTATTAATACAGGCAGCCTACCAGGGATAATAACCGATAACTCAAGGAAATAGTGAATAAATACTGAACCAGCTATAATGAAATTCTCTGACCTGATCCTTTTCAGCTTCTCCATTAACTTCACATGATTCAAATGTATTGCACTCTCCATTTGTGTTATTGGGCACCTTTTCAGTTGTTTGAAAGGCGTCAGAAGAATGCCAAAAATGCATTACAGCTTTCGCCAGAGTTCCAGCTATATTTTTCTGGTTCCGGCGAATAATATTCTGCTCAAACTCTGAACGACCGTTTGATGCAATACAATGACAGATATGTGCTGCAGCTGCTGTCTTCCAGAGGCGCTCCTGTCCATAAGTTGCATATAAAAACAATGGTTCAACTTGAAAACAAATCTTTGTCTGATGCATGAAGATTATAATATTTTTAATTTGAAATGATGGGCAAAACAAGTAGATTGGCATGCATATCTTATCAAATTAAATGAAGTACGAGTGGCAGAAGACCTTTCAGAAAATCAGACCTGCATGAAATCATTTGCCAGCCATGCCATTTCCTCGAGGACGAAATCCCAATGACACTTCCTCCTCTTCTCAGAAGATTTATAAGATGAAGATAGTTGAGCAGTCATCTTAAGGTTTGCCTGATCAACAAAAGCTGCTAAAAACAATCTAACTAAACAAACATCTCAAATGCAGAAGTTAATCTGTGGAAACAGTTGAACAAACCTCAATAACCCGAGCCTCTTTCAAAATTGCATCTTCACGTGCCTTCTTTGCCAATTTTAGTTGGTTAGCTGCATTAATGTGAACTGCAGAGGGAGTTGAGTTACCTTTTTTAGAAAGAGCTGCAGGTGAAGGCTCACAGGTGGAAACAACTAAACTGCTTGTTATGACACCTGCCTTGTTAATGGAATGGGAACTGTCAGCTAGAGAGTTGTCCAACTTTTTCTCAGGCTTTGAGACAGTTTCACCATTTGTCTTCAAGCTCTCAGGTTTCGAAATAGTGTCCACTCTATTATCATATGACTCAACTTCATCTTTAATGCGAGCTGTTGGATTGTTTAGATTTGGGTTAACAGATTTTGGTCCATCAGTAGTACTGCTCGGACCACCAACACCAACCAACAGGCCATTTTCTCTCACCCCTTTATTATCTAAAGTTTTTTCATATAATGAACTTTCTTTGCACTCTCTAATTGATTTAACTTCCTCGCTCCTTACCATGACACAATTTTCACCGATAGCATTTCCAGCAGCTATATTTCCATTCTCAGCATGAGTTTCTGTTTCAACATTGCTCAGCCTCTGAACATCTGTCGTGCTATCAATATCACAATTATTTTTACTGATATCACTGTCAAGTACACCAGTGGCAGCTTTATCTTCAGCATTGGATCCATTCACTCTATCAAGACTACAGTTATCTTTTCCACTTCCAGTGGATTCAAGGGCAACCGAAGGGAGAACAACTGAAGTAGCTTCATCTTTAGCAACTTTCTCTCCAGGTGAATTAGTGTGCTGACTAGACAGGTTTTTGTTCTGCACAGTTTCAGAAAGATTAACTTCTGTTTCTCCATCTCGTAACCCATCTTTCATCTTGTCCACACTTGCATGATCAGTTTGTACTCCATCAAGCTCCATATCCGACTTACTATCAATGGTGGATGCTTTTGGTAAGACATCACCCTTTGAACTTGCAGGTTTTGAGTTAGAAACATGAGATACCCCATGCTTTCCTGTGTGTGGTTCCCGTATTGACCTGTTTCCATCCTGATGATCGGGGAGGGAAGAAGGTGCAGTAGATTTATTACTGTGACTATCACGACTTGTCCTTGATCGGTTCCTTCGAGCATATGCCTGATTTTTAACCCCGAGGTGGAAAATAAGAGAGTCCTCCGTCTCCTTCGCATGACTGCTTCCACCACCTTCTGAAGACTGTTCGAGCAGGGAAACATTTCCTCTTTTTCCTATACGTTTCACATTTTTCTCTCCAGCGGGATTACTGTTTTCTCCATCAAATAGCAAGAGGTTGTCAGCAGTATTTGTTTCTTTACCCACGGACTCTGCAGGCCTGCCACTGCTTTCAATAGAATCTCCGTGCGGTGAGGCAGCCAAGGCAAAACTACCCTTTGCTTCGCTGTTGTGAAAACCCAAAAGAATAATTTAAAAAACAACGGATCAATATTGCCTATATCGATGAAAGAACCGTTGAGCAATCAAAGTTTTTCTATCAGAACAATTCTTATTATGGTAAGTCAACCAGATATCAACCTTATCGCATATTGCTCAGCCCGCTGATCTACCAAAGACGTAGATTGTAGACTGGTGGATGCTGCATGGCCAAATTTAAAATCCAAGGGATTGCCTCCCTGCAATAGTTCACATGAACTGAAAAATATAAAGAAGTACAAATAACATAAACATATTTATATACCAGATAGAATTAGTTATCTAGGAACACCTTTTCAAGGAATTCTAGTTCTCTTTTCCGTTCCTCTCTTACATCATATTCCTGCCTGTATAAATTTAGAAAGTGAAGTTCAGAAGCGATGACCAAAAAAAAAAAAAACCGCTAATAATAATTACAAATATGACAACAGACCGCAGCTCTGCCTGCGCCTTCTCAATTGCAGCGCCACGCGGGGAGGTCTTGATGTCCAAGCCAACTCCATAATCAACAACACCACCCATGGAATGGAATTGACCTCTGCATTTCCTAAGAGAACAAACCTCGGGGCATGACGAGAAAATTCACGTATGCCTGCTCTTTACCATACTCTTTACAACAACATCCCGTAATACGAAATTAGAAGTTACCGCAGAATCCTACAGACACAAAAAGGAAGGTATTCAGAATTTAAATAAATAAATAAATAAAGGCATTGATATGTAAGAAAGGAAAGCTGCACGAGCACATCGAAATGCATAAAGATTAAAAAAACAATCAAGCTAGAGTTCACATGTAAGTTCTGACATTTAGGATAAAATTATAGAAAAAAATACATTAAAAAAATCGTGCACAACGGGGCAAGATGTGAGAGGAGGAGAAAAGCTAGGGCAAAAATGAAATTGAGAAAACCTAGGGCAAAAATGAAATTGGGAAAGATTAGGGCAAAAAAAGACATAAATTTGGGGAAATTTCGCAATAAATCCGTTGGAATTGGAGGAGAGAGTGAGAGGAATAAGAAAAGATGAGAAGAGGCGGGGAGATTTGAGAGCTGAAGAGAGAGAGAGAGAGAGAGGTGAATGCCTTCGGTCGGAGATCTGAACGGAGTTGAACAACGACGACTTTCGCCGAGATGGAGATGGTCGCAGTGGCGATGGCAGCGCGTTTGGGAGGCGGTCGTCAGTCGGGGGAGAGAGAGAGAGAGAGCGGAGGAGGAGGAGAACTATCGGCGGAGTTGAACGCACGACGAGAGTCTGGTAACGGGGGTCTGAGGATACTCGGCCCTTTAGGTGTTAAGAGAAAACCGTTTAGGTTGTGGGCTTTCTTCGTTCCGCCAGCCCAAGAAAAACAAAGAGGACGACCTCGGTTATCAAGTCTGTGGTGTTTATTTTTTGGGAAAAAGAAAAAAGAAAACGGCAAAAACATACTAATTTGTTTTTTTTGGTACTTAGGAATTGTGTGGCAACATGGTGTTTTCTATGGGCGAAAATACCAAATTGGTATATTTATATGAACGTGTTTGCCAGTTTGAAAAACTCCGGCGATAACAGTGCATTAAAGCTCGTCCTTTTTTGTCAATAAGATCATTTTTTCAAAATTCCGACAAGAAAATTTATTTTAACCCCATACCTCACAAAATTATTAAATATATGCCCAAAATTATCAAAAAAAATCCATCCCGTCCCTCTCCCCCTCCTCCTCATTGTCGACGTCCTCCTCCTCCTCTCTCATTCCCCTCTCCTTCCCTCCTCCGCCTCCCCCCCCCCCCCAACCCCCCCCCATCCATGATCTATATAAATGAAAATTTAAAATAAATGACGCAAATTAGTTTGCACAGCGAACTCTGATCATGAGGACGCAAATTAGGAGATCACCGAAGAGAAGACTGGATTGGGTTGAAGTCCTATAAGTAACTTATATTTTGCTCATAAGCGTCAAGCGTAATTTATGAGGACCAACATTTACCCCCTTTTACCATTGACCTATCAATTGAACCGTTCAATGCCAAAATATCAGAAGAGAAAAGATCTTCTTTTCAACTGGAATGAACTCCATCAGTAGATCAATGATTGATCAATAACTAAACACGATAAGGATACAATACCAACTATACTATGAAGGTACTCTTGTTCGAACCCTACCATAAGTTCCTCGTGCGATTGCTCCAGACTGCAGACGGGTTTGACACCGGGATGCTTTCAGAATCGACTCGAGATTATCCCGTGCCGATGTCCCCCTGCTGGTCATATTGGTGGTGACCCTCGGAAATTCTCCGTCTTCAACCATCCTTCTTCTTCGTTGGGAACGCCTAGGCTTTGGTTTTGGCGTCTCCGCACTAAGTCTCTCAAAAACTGAAACTCTTTCAGGGACTGCCTTAATGCAGTTGCATTCAGACAATACCCTTCGAGGACTTCTCTTTCTGGCTTTGCTCGTACCCCCAGCACGATAGTATAGCTCGTCCGTTTGAAAGTCAGAGCAACCTATCGTGTGTTGGCACGACTTCTTAGGTATAACACTATCACTATCAGATGATAATGTTTCCATCTGAGGTTGGATTGCCTTCTTTGGGCTTTCAAAAGTTACACGCCTTGAAACGTGCCTTTGTGGGCGCGAGTCTTTAGCGTGCTCTTGGACTTCGATGCGCAAGTTGGTGAGCGCATCAGCGGGCTCTTGGACCTCAATGCGCAAATTAGCGCGCGCAGTTGCCTTGAGCTCCTTGTCATGTTGGAGGTAGCGGTGACCCCCAGCGTGTTGATTCGTTCGGGGTTTTCTTAGTGGGCCCAAACGTTCTTGGATCGGAGCTTTGCTTCGCTCATCGGGAATTGGACCGAGGCGCTCCAAGACTGGCTTTCTCCTTCGGGAGGATTCTGCATGATCTCCCGGAGTAGCTATGGGAATTCTCGGCGACTTAGCTTGGTTCGCCGGAGGTTGAATTTTGGTTGGAGGCTGCAGTTGCTGCTTTTTGGTCTGAACCGCCGCTTCAGACTTTGGCCTCCAGACTTGGCGGGTTGATGGCGGCTTCTTGACCACCTCTTTCTGCAACTTCCTACGGGCTTCTTCAGCTTGAGCCCGTGCCTGCGCTGATAGTGCGCGGCGTTTGCGGATGCGTTCTTCCAGCGTCGAACAATTCCGTTTGACACGGATCCATTCCATTGTTGGCGGCTTGGAAGAGGTGCCGTTCATCTGTTGTTGAGGCTGTTTGCCTCTCTTGTTCTTCAGACCCGCGTTGTAGCGGACTCCGTCGGTGGACTCCATCGCTTTGGCGAATTGTTTGGCCAAGCGTTGGCGTTGCCTTTGGCGGGCTCTCTTTGAGAGAGTCACCGCTCCTTTGGTGACGGAGGAATTGGTTGGAACCAGCTTGATCTGGTTGGAGATTGGTGGAGCCTCATCTGACGCAACTTTGGCGTCAATCGAGATGAGGTCGTCGTTGGTAGCTTCAACTTCTTCGTACCAACGCACCTTTCTGTTGGAAGAGAACTTGGACTTCTTGGACTTGCGGGGGGAGGTCGATCTAGACGAGGATGAAAGGTACTCCTCGAACTTGGTCTGATCGAACTCGTATTCGACCTCCTCCACGACTGGGATCAAGATCCGCGGCTGCGACGCTCCGATCTCGGCAGCGAGATCGGTGGCTCCCACTGTGGTCGCCAGATTGTTCGCGGGAAAAACCGTTGCTTTCTTCATTAATGATTCCATTGTACACTCTTGTAATAGTCTATCGATTACAAAGATCCGGTCTTTTTATAAGATCCGGTTACAACGAAAATCAAATAAAAATAAACAAAGATTACAACTTTTCTCCTTTTGTTTTTTGCCTTCTTAAATTTTGATAAATTCTAACTATGTCATTATCTCTAATTAATCTTTTATTAAATAAATATAACATTTTATTAATTATGCACCTTCTCACCATCCTAAATAATTATAATTATTAAAAATATTATAAATATTAATTGTTTAAAAATACTACAATAAAATAATTTATAAAATAAATATACACAATTATTAGTAATAACCAATTAAATTATTATAATAAGTATTTATGAATTATAATAAAATAATCAAAATAATAGTATAAATTGAATAATATATTACTGGATACTATTAAAATTATACTATAAATTCAATGAGCAATAAAATAAATAGAATAAATATGTAATCACATAAATAGTGTAATTATTTTAATAATATCACATAAAGTATGAATTATACTATTTATTTAGTATTATATTATTAAATAAATAATTTAATATTATTTTTAGAGTATTTTCTCAAAGATTATTATGTGATACTGAATAATCTGTACTTGATAATGATTAAAAAGTAATATTTTTACTGTTAATTATAGTATAATAAAAAGTTATGAAATATTTATAGTACTAAATTATTTAAGAGCATAATTAAAAATTTTAAATTAGATAAATATTTTATAGTATATAAATAGTATAATTATTTTAATAGTAATATTTGAGCTAATAATAATTACAATATTAAATAAGGTAGATTTTAGTAAACCTCCATGAACTTTTAGTATTTTAGAGTAAATAAACCCTACGAACTTTTGAAATCATACTAGACCCCTAATAACTTTTGTCGAAGGCCTAATATCTTTTAGATAAATTACACCAAACTCCCAATAAATTGCCTTTTATGACATTTTATGGTTCTAATTTATAGAGGTTATCTGCAAAATTCAGAATGTTGTTGAGTGTTTTCTTTGAAACAGAAAAGTCATTGAGGGTTTAGTGTGATTTTGAAAGCTCATGGGGGCTAAAAGTTCATAAGGGTTTATTGTAATTTACTATATTAAATAATTGTAATGAGAAATAGCTATTACAATATGTTGCATATATTAAATATAACTATCAATGGAATATCAAGATTAATGCAGCTTATTTAATTTAGAGTTAAGTTAACAACTTTAAGTTGGAGGGGCATATTTAAGAGAACTAATAGAATTGGTAGTCTTATTTAAGACCAATTTTAGATTTGGGGACTTATTTTTATACATTTCTTTGTAAGCAATCTTATTACAAAAATTTATTTATTGACACATAGTTTTACTATTCAATAAAAAATTCAGAACTTAAAATAACGTGCAAAACACGTGCATATACTAGTTTATCTATAAATGAAGTAGTAGACTTTCTTAAGATGTAATTTCTCTAAACATATGTGACTATCTCAAGCAAGTTGTTCGAGATATGAAAATCTAAAATTTATAATGGAATCAACCCAGTGTAATTTTAATAGTACTTAATAGAGTATATATGCAATGTAGAAACATTGTTTCCAAAGCACCTAAGGAGCATGGTACCTAGTATGGATCAATAAAAATTGTACCCAAATTTTCCATATTGAAGCTTATTGTCTTGAAAAATGTCAAAAGTGAATGAAGTTTATTTCTAAAGAGGGACATAAATACACAACCTCCAAACCCATGTATGCATATGTGTCTACAAAAGGAAAAAAGAAGAAAACAAAAGTAAATTCTTAAGATAAAGATGAATCTTTTCTATGTTCCATTGCCACACAATAAAGAGAAAAGCCTGGAACACCTCAAATACATAACAAAGATGTTGATTCTCCTGCAAGATTTTATTACATATTCCTTTCCAATACGATAAGTATACATATATCTAAAACTGTTGAAAGTT